CTCTAATAGCTTTCCTGGAATAAAATAACAAGCCACATGCCTGTGCCATGAACCTCCAGTCTCCTCCACAGAAAGATAGGAGATAGGCAAGCCCCAAACTGGTCACTTTTCTCTCTGGAGCCAAAAAGAGGCTAGGCTCACTGATAGGTTATTGAGTGGCACGTGTGAGAAGCTTCCTGGCATAAGGGAGAATGGGGCACTCTATTCAAATGGATTCTGAGGCAAGGCCCCTAACCTGCGATGTCATTTCCCTTTGTCTTTCCACAGGGCCCACATCATGCTGCTGTGTTACCCTTCTGAGGGAATTCCTGCCAAGTGGCTCTATACACTATGGCATGTGCTCAATAAGGTTGTCGAAGAGACACCAGAAGGGAACATCAACTGCACATGTGAATTGAGCTCCAACATGTCCAATGATGACATTCAGCAAGTGAAATAAATTCAGTGGCCTAAGACAGTTAGGGAGGTTGGTTTACGGTGAGGTGTTCACAGGGTGGGACTTGGTGGGGAGTGCAATGGCAGGCAGACAGATGAATTTTCTTTTCCTTAACAATATGGTTCATTTGAATGGATTTATATTCTTCCTTTTCTCAAATCTCGATTTGAAATAATTTGTGAAGTAAATGATTAGGTCTAAGGAAAGAAGGGGCAAAAATAAAGTAATCATAGATTTTGTGCAACTGCTGTGATTGCGTAATGCTTGGCAGCTAGAGCCATCAGAAGCAAGCTATCTCTCTCATCTTTAGGTGTCTTCTGGGAGATGGACATTATCCTGGACCTAATTTTTTAAGGATTCCTAGGGGAGTTCATAAGATGAAGAAATAGAATGTTTTGGAGCTGGAAAATGCAGAGAAATCACGAAACGGGTAAGGAGAGAGAGGTTTTCAAGATAAGGATTTCTGAGTCCAGGTTGTCTTCAAGAGGCTGCCTCCTCAGGGCAAGTGGAGTCATGAGACCTCTAAACGCCTGAAGTGTTTCAGAAACACAGAAAATTCCCGGAGATAACATTACAACCCCACAGTGGGCAAGGAGAGGGCATTATGAGATTAAATACCAGCCTGACACGCCCTTGCCCACATCCTTGTGCTTCCAGGCCAGGCCTGGCAGGTGGCCAGGTCTAGTGAGATGCCTGCCCTGCCTCCTGGTCCATTTGTCTTCTTCCCTCTGTTTACGGGGCTTACCTCTCAAATGGCAGCAACACCTCTGAGCGGGCCACTTACACATCTGTGAGTCATTTCCCTCTCTTGCTTTCTGCTCAAGCTCTGTGGACCCAACTACGGCTGCGTTGGAGTAAATGACTACTCAAAGGTCCAGAAAGCTGCGGTGGTTGCAACTGTTCTGAATTTATACTGGGAATAAAATGTTAAACCTGGAAGTGAAACAATAACTGTCTGATGGGAGATCACATAAGAGATTTCCTTCTCTCCCTCTTTTTTGGCACTAACCAAAAATCATACACAACACATATATTGTTTATACTCTCTGGATGTAACTTTACTAAAAATTATGCACAACATGAACTCCTGAGTACAAAATATTATTATCATATCAGGGAGTTCCTAGAGCCCTTCTTTCTCAAAACAGATATCCTTGCTGTATTAAAAAGGGGACTCTAATTGATCTTCTTGTATCTGAGATCTGGGCTTCCAACTCTGCTCCTTAGAAGCCCAGGTGCTTCAGTGGTACCCTGAGGGCTCCCACCTCTGCAGCTTCACTTGTTTTACATACTGGGTTTTGCATAAGATGTCATATGCTGGAGGTGTTTGAAAAGCAGGTGGTGGCATGAAGATCCTGAGATGGCTGGTCTGTAGGATTTGCTTTGAATTGCTTCCCCTGCTATGGTAGCTATTTGACAGATTCTTCATTTTCTGACCTGGTTTTCTTTGGGACTACCAACAAAATGCACCAATAAGCAGCTCACTGGTATTTGGGATGTAGCAGCAGCTCCCACCCATTCAGGACTGGAAGCTGAGTGACATATTACAGTGAGAACCATGCTGTCCTGCCAGCCTGAGGAGGTTCCTAGAGAGAATGCACGTTGCTATATGGTTTATAAAAGAATAAAGGTATGTGAGGGCAGCAAGAATGCCAGGGTGGAAGTGTCCTCTCCCATGGTTCAATATCCATCTTCCTAGTTTCACAGGCCATCTATAAGGCAATAACCTCCATACTACACTCTCCAGTCCCAGCCCTCCATTAGTTCAAGGCTGGCTGTCTACCGTCCATTTAGCATCTCTGCTTGCACCTAATGTAGGGGCAGTTTGGCCAAAACAGAATCCTTGATTTCTCCTCCAGCACCTATTCCTTTTTGGACTTTCTCATTCAATAAAGGATTCCAGTCATTTGCCAGCTGCTGGAGCTGAGATTCTGGAAGGCCCGCTCTCTGATCAATCTCTGTTCTTCTCAACAGCAGCCTCACTGAACATGAGAGACACATGAGAGCTTTTGTGTCCCAAAGCCCTAGGTCCTGCCTCCAGAGCTATTAGAGCCATATCTCTCCGGGTGGACCCAGGCATCAGTTCACTTTAGAAGTTCTCCAAGGGCTTCTATGGTGCACCCAGACTTAAGAGCTGGTGGTTTAACACATACTCTAAATCCAATGGCTTCTTTGCAGCTTCACTACCTCCAGTTTGGTCAAAGCTACTGTCACACCTTATCTGGGTTACTACAATTCCTCTAGTCCCCTGCTTCTACTCATCCCACCCTGAACCTCCACTGTGAGCACGGTGCACATCATGCATCGCCTTTGTAAAGACCAAAGTTCTCACAGGCTGACAAGGCCCTGTGTAACTGGCCTCTGCAGCTCTCTCCACTCCCTTGCCCACATTCTCTTTGCTTGGGTCACCCTGGCCTTAGTCCTATTTCTCAAATATGCCATACTTGCTTCTGCCTCTGGGTCTTTTACCTACTCTCTCCTCTGCCTGGAAGGCTCTGCCCGCAGATCCTGCAACTTCTCGTCATTCAGGTCTGCTCAAATGGCCTGACTGAGGAGAAGCCTCCCCAGATTACCTTGATTGAATACAGTCCCCCTTTAAAGTCACCACATCACCCTAGTCACACTGTTTTACCATCTTTAAAGAACTTATGTTCTTCCAACATTACAATAATGTCATTCAATAATGTCTTCGCTGCCAGATTGCTTCACTAGAATGTGACCTTCAAGTAGAGATTTCTGTCTGTCTTGCTCTCACTGCTCAGAAAGGAACTTCTCACTGAGCAGGCACTCAATACACATGACCATTCATTTTATTCGATCCATCAGTGTCTCCCAGAGCTCCTCTGCACTACTGCCAGAGTGATCCTTGTAAAATGACAATCTGATTTTGTCACTCTTTTGTTTAAAATCCTCAGGGGCTTTTGACCACCTGTCATCATCCAACTTCTACCCTCCTTCAACACCCACCATTACCAACCAACCCACACCATTTTCCTCCTAAGGTTCCACCATTCCCAACAATGCCTGGCTGCCTTGGAGCCACACTCCTGGCGTGCTTGTGTCTGTACAGGTCCCTCTGCCTGGAATGTCGCCCGTGTCTTCCTGCTCTATCACCCTCCACTTCCTCTGCCAACAGCCATTGCTCTGATGAGAATTGGCTGAAGCACCACTTCCTCTCCAGGCAGTCACCCCCACCTAGCTTGGCTAATCTCCTCCCTGTTCTTCCACCACAAACCATGAACCATGCTTCCTTCTGCCACAGCCTTCATCATCTGCAGCTGCCCTTGCTTCTTTTCTCCTAGAAAGAGGACACCCTAAGGGCAGAACAGCACTGGGAGCTTAATAGACAGTAAACTATATGCTGAGCAAAACAATGTCTTTTACTCCTGTGTCCCCCAATAGCAAGGCATCGTAAGATTTTCTGAATACTTGTTTTCAATATGACCAAATTGATACTTTCATACCCTTGTGTCTGGGGGCACTTTTAGGCATAACCACATGCTTTGTTTCCTGCAGCTGATGACTGCCTGGCGATCCTGTAAGCAGCACCAACCCTGGACAAAGAGGCCCCTACCTATGATGCCAGTGTGTGTGAGCTCCCTGAGGCACGTGCACAGAAGGGGCCCTGTCTGGACCAGTCACTGACATGTAACTGAGCTAGGAAAGCCAGCTTCCCTTGGGACAGTTAACAATCTGCCACCTAAACCAGCAGGAAATGGAGCCCTTTGAGAAGAAAACTAGCTCAGGACATCATCTTTACTATATTTTTGGGGGCTCACAGAAACAAAATTTGTGTGTGTTATTAGCAATGTTTTCCCTTTCCTAACTTAAACACATCCCACACATTGAAACAATTTGAGCTACAGAGGTCTTTATCAAATAACTTAATCCTCTGGCTTTTCTTATACAAGAAAATGAGTAGAAACAGGAATGGAGGGTCTAATTCTAGGGTGTAAAAACATTCAATAGCCATTTGCACAGCTTGGTACTGGTGGTTAGGTCACTGAGCAGATCACCTCTGTTTTACTCACACATATTCACCAAGAAGCACTGGCTGCTGCCCAAAACAGGCTTGTCCAGATTTTCAGGAAAGAGAACCTTACCCACACACAGTAAAAACCATATCTGTGCAGGTTCCTAGAACTGGGTGTAGCTTTAATTTCAAGCCCACCTAGCTCCTATCCTATCTTCGCATCCTGACCAGACACCTAACATGTTTTTTGCTCCAACCTTCTCACTCCAGTCTCCAAAGTTACCTGACAGAGGACTGATTTGAACCAGAGGATAGATTCCCCCAGACAAACCCCTTCCTGCAGTAGCTCAATTAAGGTGTACATCAATGCACAGATGGTACCATTCAACTGAGACAGGCTGTAATACAGATGCTGGCCTCTTTCCCCCAGAGTCCCATGAACTCTAACATGGAGGGACCCACTTTCCCAGCCAACCCTGGCCCTTCTGTTCTCCACATTCCCGAGGTCCAGGGGGAGCATGCAGGCTTTGGCCATGTCAGGGCCAGAGGAGGAGAGTGTGGGCTGGTCAAAACAAGCCCAGACATACTCACGGGGTCCGTCAGCATGGCCCGGCAGTGGGAGGCCAGGGCCAAGAAGGCCAACAGGTTGAATACAATTCCGTTGATGATGCTGTATACATAGTCTCTGGATGGAATCAGCATGACAAAGAGGACCACAAACTCTGCATAGAGGACCAGAAACCAGGTGACGATGGCACAGGCGATGCCACAGCTGTCGCGGATAAACCACATGGTTCCCACAGGACCAGGGTAGGGAGGTGGGACACACTTCTCCGGCTGGAGGTATTCCGGCTTGCGCTCAATGTCTCGAAAGTGGTGGGTGTGGATAAGCATCATAAGCTATTCTGTCCATACTGGCATCTGAAAGAGGAAAAGAACCCAGAAACTTGATGTTATCATTAAGGAGACTTGTCAAAATTTCCTTTCCAAAGTGAGCCAGAAGTATCTGTGTGTAAATCTTTGTAGAAATGCTGCCTAAACACCTTGCTCACTTAAAGTACTGGTTGTCTTTCCTACTGCTGAGAGTTAACTTAGTCTTTCTGAAATAGGCCTGCCTTGCCCCAAACCTTCACATGATAAATAATGAAGAGGGAGCCTCCAAAGGGCAAATGTCTGGCCAGAGGTCAGCTGGAGCACAGTGGCAGATGCAGCACCTAGGGGGAGGACCAGAACCTAGTCTTCTTTGGCTATCGGGGCTCCGCTGGGCAGGCAGTGCTTCAGCAGATAAGTTCAGATTTTGACATAAAAGACAGGGAAGGGGTGGGATTGGAGGAACAGCAAACGCTGCGGGAAAACTCTCCAGCAGAAACGCTGCTGCCTTTATAGCATGGAAAACCCAGGGGCCCACACTGAAGCTGTTTGGGGCAACAGGGATGAGTAGAGGAAAAGCAGTAGTTAGCTAGGGCTAGTGTCAGGGCACAACCATGAAGACATTCTAACTCACTGCACTACCAAGCTGATGATAAAGGTAAACAGAGTGGGGAACGTCAGGCTTTTTACCTGATTAACCAAAATGATGTATTTTTCCAGGACAAGAGACAGAATTTCTGAGTTTTGGTCTCCTTATATATAATGGGGCAAAGGGTAGAGAATGTTAGTGAATTCAAAGATGTGTCCCACCACCTGGCCATGGGGCTTTGTGAGCCTGTCACATTCCAGCCCTGGCCATCTCCTACCAGGGCTGCTGGTGGGGGAGTTGGTGGAGGTGCTTGTGATGAATGGAGGAAATTGGTACACCAAATTGCTCACAGACTGTACATATATTCTCTCCAGGAAAGAGAAAGAAGCATTGGGTAAACAGCCTTTCCTCCTAGTAGTTGTAACTTGAGTCTCTGAAGATAGTAATGAAAAGACTGATGTCCACACAGATTCTCAACATGTGCTACAAGGTTCAGAAAGCACAGATCCCTCTCTTCCATCTCTTTATCTTAAACTTTCTCGCTCACTGCATCAGCAACCAGGTTCCTCACAAACTGTGACAGCTTGAGTTAACCACCAGATGTAGGTACCATGGAAAAGCCACCTGTAGTGGACCTGGGGCAGGCAAGTGCAACTCAAGCTTTTTAGGAACTCAAGTCATTACACAGCAGAGGAAATCCCTCGAAAGCCACACTGGCCACATGTGTGCTGAAGGGCAAGGGCAGGCTTGCAATGGTCATATTGGACTGTCCTGACCCTTTCTCCCACTTTTCCTTCTTCTTCCATTGCCTTCACCTCACAAAAAGAGCATCTGGATTGAATATAGGACAGTCAGGAAAAGTAAGAACAAGTCCAGAAAGCTGAGATGGCAGAGCAGCAACTATTCCTCAAAATGGTGGACATTCTAGGGTCAACAGTTGCACAGACTATCAAGAACAATAAAGCCAACCCCTCCCACCCCAAAGTGGCAGAGAATTAATGGCTGAAAGGCAGGACTTGACCAAAGGAACATTCAACTCCACAAATATGGAACAATGAATCACATGTTAAGTGCCCAGTGCTGGGAATAAGAAGCTTTGACGTATATGGAATAATTATCAAGTAGATTGAAGCAGTGGTTCCTGATGGTCCATCAACCAGAATTTTCTAACAGAGCAACTCTGTGCTCTCCAGAGGAGACGAACAATTTAATGTTGACAGTGACAACCAAAAGACATTTGGACAGTGGGCCTACCTTCTAAAGCCTGAAGCATAACAGTAGGGGATCAGAGACCAGGAATGTCCAAACCTTGACCTGTACCCAGCAAATTCTAAAACCCTAAATTCCATCCAGCCAAAATCAGTGCTCCCCTCCCCTACCATGTCAAGTTGATATCCCATAGTGGATCAAAAGCTGACTGAGGCCCAATCTTTGACTACCCCCAGATGCAGTCACTCTTTCAGTTTTCCTACTGCCATACAGATCTGTATGTATATCATCTCTGTTCCAATAATTACATTTAGGCTCAAACCAATAAAGTCTTAATGGCTCATGGCCACACTGTTTGATTATGAACTATCTCTGGCTGCTTTTGCACTGTAATGGCAAGAGTGGAGTAACTGGTAGAGACCACATAATCTGCCAGTCTGACGTACTTACTCTCTCTTGTTAAGAAAGGTTTACTGACCACTGGTTCTGAACTGTGGTCACTCACCAAATGACAGATCCACCATAACTCCTTCCCCTTCAGGACAGCTCAGTGTGATGAAGATGGTTAGCTACAAATCATCCCCACCCAGACCCCCTCCTCTGTGGCAGCCCCTTGTCTTCTGCAGCCTAAGGGCCATCTTCCCCAGAGCTGTGAGTTCTACCAAACTGCACTTCAATGATGAAAAATGGTGTGGTTTTCATACATGATCACTAAGAATATATTTTAGAGCAAGTGTTCTTTAGACTCTTTCAGTGATTAAGTTAGGCTCACAGTATATTCAGAGTAGCTGACTACATTCTATCCTTCAACAGTTGCTCATTCTTGGTTGGATACATGGCAATGCCTTGACCACACCAGAGTTATTTTTCATGCGCACAGTTTTGCTGAGGATTATGCTCTTCCACATAAATAGATTTCCCAGGTAACTGACTTGTTCTGAAGCAGAAACATTTTAACCATTTGGGTGGTTAAGATGGAAATCTCAAAAATAAAAATTTAAGAAGAGTGTTGTGGTTCAGTGGTAGAGCACTCGCCTAGCATGCACCAGGTGCTGGGTTCGATCCTCAGCACCACATAAAAATAAATAAATAAAATAAAGGTATTGTGTCCAAGTACAACTAAAGAAAAAAATTTGAGAGAGAGAGAGAGAGAAAGAGGGAGGAAGAAAGGAAGGAATTATAGTTGTTTCTATCTTACCATTTCTTCCAGAATTATTAAGAGTCATTACCAGGAACATAAATTACTGGAGTGCATCAGGCAATGATGTCCTCAGGGGCTACAGAGATTCACTAGGTCTCGGCCTCACATCAAATGGTCTGTTCAGACTGAAATTCTAGCAACTTCTTTGTATGGTTCTTTGTCTTCCTCCTTCATTACAACTATTGTCATTTCTGTGTTTACAGTTATCAACACATTCTCTGTTTACTACTTTTAATTGGCTATGAGCTGGAAAAGCTAATAAAATAAAATCCTGTTGTTGCTTTGTAAAGGAAGGTACTCATTTTAGGTACAGATTCTTCAAGGTGCACCTGCTATGCTCTACCTTCATTCAGTCCTCGAGGACTGGAGGCCCTGCCTTGTTATTAGCCCAGTTCCTGGCACATAATAGCTATTTAATACATGTGTTCATTAAATGAATGCATGAGCTCTGTGAGCCCAGAGCCATCTCCTGGAGGCCTTTTCTGCTTACTTTCAGAGCTATGGCCATATTGCAGATGGTGAAGGATATACCGAATAGTAGCATGAAGTAGGTGGACTGACTCCTCAAAAAACCAGAACGTTCCATGTTTGAATAATGTGAAACCAAGGAGTGTATGCCCAAGGGGAGCTATTTCCCAATACCCTCATCGGTGCACAAGAAACTGTGATCTGGAAAAGGACTCAGTCAAGGGTGCACCTGGCAGAGCCAGAAGCCAAGTATGAACTGGGCCAACCCACACTTTAGAGTCTCAAAATGCCCCAACTGGTATCAAGCAGGGCATGCTGTTATAAAATAGTTACTTAACTCCAGGACTCCCCAAAGTAATGAAAGTGGCTTTCCAATAAGGACTTTTCCCTTAAATTAGCCAACTGGACATGTAAGAAGTATGGGGGGGATCCTACCTTGAAACAAATTGTACACATTCCCTTCATCATGTCCCTAACAATAACAACAACAACAACAAATACAGTCCCTTTACCTATTCTATTTTGAATTAGAGAAACTCCCAATCTGGGGGTTCAGCAGCAGCTCTTTGCCAAGGATGCCTCTCTTCTGAGGAGCGGAGCAGAACTGGTTGCTCAGGTCTGTGGGGCAGACCCACGAGCTGGCTGGTGGGTCTCAGATTCCCAATGCCTCGGAGGGACAGCTTCCATCAGTCTCCCCTCCCTGCCCTCTCCATCCCATCCCCTTGCCCCATTTCCTCTCTAAAGTCTTCAACTCTGCATTTAGTTCAATTCAAAAAGGCATTCATGGTGCAGGAACTAAACGCAAGGAACTATATGCTCGGAGCTCACCTGAGGAGAGATGAGGACAATAATGTGTGTGCTGCTCTGTGCAGGTCCTGCTATTTCCCTCCTCCAGCTACCACTCTAGTTAAAGACTAGTCTTGTTAGTTTTTTTCCTACTAATCTATATATCCCATTTTGTCTAGCTCTGTAGCTTAGTATCTGGCATGAGTTTGGGCCCAAATCAATAGTTTTGAGTGAATCATATATAAATCAGACAGACATAGCCACAACAATGCTAACCCATAGGTGACTAATAGCTAAACAAAGGGGCAAATAATATCAAGACAACAAACCAAAAACCACCACCCAGAGGTGAGATTAAACACTTTTTCATGGTAAGGACCTCTGAAGGGATCTGAGCATCTTTGACAAAGGATAGGATAGCCTGGCAGAGACAGTGGTGGGGCTGGATGTCCAGGACCTCGTGCAGTCTGTGCACACACAGATTTTGCTGAAAGGACAGGGTTAGGATGGAAATGAAGTTTTAAAGGTAGGAGAAAGCTATGTGTTAGAAAGTTTTTGAATTTTGCAATGAACTGGGATTTCAACCAGGACAAGGCAAGACAGAGCAAAAGGCTAAGCCCAGAGGCCATGAGTCCAGGAAGACACTAACACAACAGAATGGAGTCTTATTTTGGTGGTATTGGGTTTTCTGTTCCTCGTAGTAGCTACCAATTTTCCAAGGAAAGACTGAGAACAACGAACATTTTGTAATTTTAATTATAGCAACTTACTTTTTTTTTTTTTTTGGATAACTGTCTT